CTTTGGGAACTGAGATCTGCTGGTGATTACCTCATCAATAGGTTGTTACCTTGAAACAGTATTATTTTATAACCGTGGGCAAACGACCTCACCTTTGTGAAAGTCATTTCTTTGAAGGTGCCAACCCCTTTTCCATGCCTGCCCTCTGCTGGCAGCTTCTCCCTGCTCTCTTCTGCATCCTCAGTCTCCCTGGATGGAACTCCCTTCTCATACCCTCAGCTCCCCAGCTGTCTTCACTGAGGGGTAGCCTAAGACTACCTCCCACAGCCTCACTCACTTCTCTAAGAACACCAATCTTGCTCCTCCTCAATGGCTACCCAGCACCTACAGAAAGGGTCCAAAATTTTTAGCCAGCATCTAGCATCTTCCATATCTGTCCCTCCCATCATCTTTATGAAATGCTCCCATACTGTTCTCTAGTCTCCCAATCTCTTTCTGTCCATTCGCTGTTAAGCAGGGCACTGCTTGAAAAACCAGCTGCCTCCAGCAGCCAACCCAGACAGCCCACATCAGAAAGGATGGAGCACTTTCAGTCCTGCCACTCTGGCCTGGAGTCTGTTTTGTCCACAGATGTCTGGGAACTCTAGGAGAATGTGCAGTGTGGTCTTCAAAGGTTCAGGAAAAGAAAAAAGTTAACTGGGGCTGAGGACTGAACTCATTCAGTAGAGCACTTGCCATACAAACATATGACCTGAATTTGAACCAGTGAACTCATGAAAAAACTGAAAGTACAGCATGGTGATATGTGCTTACAATCCCAGTTCTCTGGGGGTGGGTGGCGGGGGTGCAAACTGGCAGATTCCTGGGGCTTGCTAGCCAGCCAGACTAGCCTCACCAGTGAACCCCAGGTCCCAGTGAGAGACCCTGTCTCAAAAAAACAAGTTGGGACTAGTAAGATGGTTCTGCAGGCAAAGCTTAGTGCTAAACCTGACAAGCTGAGTCCAATTCACTGGTAGAAGATAACGGATTCCAGAAGGTAGTCCCTTGACTGCCAAACAAACCACTTGGCATAAGCGTGTCCACACATACACACACAAAATAAAGTGAATTAAAACAACAAAAACAAGGTAGATGACTTCTGAGGAAGGACATCTGAAGTTGTCTGCACCTATAGCACTGACAATGACCACTGGGGTTGGGGACAGGGGAGGATGTGACCTGGAGGAACTAGATCTGGGGAAGGGCACCCCCTCCAGTGCTCCCCCTCCCCCGGAGCGCTCTCTCTTGCTTGCAGCACGGGGAGGGACAGAAGAGCATCCAGAGGCATCCTTGGGACCTGGAACCTGCTGGCGTTCACCTGTCTCTGTTGTAAGTTATTTCTCCCTGAATAAACATCTACTCAGTCTATCTGCTTTTCCTGATCCTTATTAAACCACGATACAGGTGGACCTGCCTCCTGCACCCAAGAAGCTGATTCAGGGCCAGGGCTGCACAGTCACAGGGCCACTGTCTTGGATACCCTTGATGTCCTCCTGGGCTAGATCTTCACTCTGACCCCTAGAAACAAACACTGTTCAGAATTCACTGTCCCATAAAAGCTGGCAGAGGGCAACCTTGTGGGACTGGTTCCCTTCCCACTTTCCATGGATTCTAGAGATTGAACATGAGTGCCTTTATCTGCTGAGCTTCACCAATTCCTTAAAAAAAAAAAAAATTAAATTTTTTTTTCTTGTGACAAGGTTTCTCTGTGTAGCCCTGGCTTCCCTAGAACTCACTAAGTAGACCAGGCTGGCCTCAAGCTCAAAGTGAGCCTCCTGCTTCTGCCTCCCAAGCACTAGGGTTAAAGGTGTGCACTGCTATGCCTGGTGATTTTTAATTGTTTTAGGTTTATGTGTGCAATCTTTTGCTTGCATGTATGCCAGTATACCACATGTGTGCCCGATGCCTGTGGAAATCAGAAGATGCTGTCAGATCCCCTGGATCTGTGAACCATTGTGTGGGTGCTAGAAACTGAACCTGGGTCCTCTGGAAGAGTAAGTGCTCTTAAGCATTGAGCCATCTCTCCAGCTGTTTAAAAAGGTTTTGTTGTTGTTGTTTTTGTTTTTTAACTCACAAGGCATTTTTATATAAGAAAAACCAGCCAAGTATGGAAGCTCTCTCTTGTAATCCCAACAGTTGGAAGGCTGAGACAGGAGGATTACTGCAAGTTTAAAGCCAACGTGGACTACAGAGTTAAACTTTCTAAAGCTCCACTACCTTGACCCTCAAAAATGCTGAAGTGAGAAAAATCAAATTAGTGGCAAGGGACATGTGTGGCAGGCAAGGCAAGCCTTGGCTATGTGCAGAGCATGCAACAGACTCGAGGGCTAGCTCCTGCTAACAGCTCCAGGTACCTTGGCAGGGGACAAAAGTCTACCTTTCTTGGGGTCAAAAATGAGAAATCTTTTGTTTTTCTTTTCTTGTAAGACCTTCAATTGGTTTTACTTTATATTCTGGGTTAGGTAATACTTTATTCCATAAAATAGAATATGTTCCTGGAGAATGCTGTTTTAACTTCAAGGCATTGCAGGTGAGACTGGTAAGAACCATAAAAGAACAGCCATTGGTAACTCACAGTAGCCGGCCCTAAAAGGTCCTAGGGTACTCAGTTGGCACAGTTCACATTAAGTAACATAATAAATAATACCTAGGTGCTAGGCCAGGGGCAGGATATCCAGGACTCCAATGGGTCTCACCTCTACAGCAGATTCAGCCTGCCCCTGCCCCACCCTGCACCCTGAACATGACCTGACACAGAGGTAATAGTGTCACCCAGAAGGAGTATGTTGGTGCATGGCCCATGGCTCATGCAGAAAAGAGGTGGGTAAATTTGAGGTTCATGACGCTGTGGCGGCAGCTAGTCAGAGAGGAGCGTGAACCAGAGAATCAAGGACTGTCCTAAGCACAGGACAGTGGCAAAGTCACATAATAGAAAAAGCCTGCTGGATAAGTGCAATCCCAAGACAAATGGCTACTCTAGCAGAGGCTCCGGCATCAGAGAAGAAGGGAGGCAGAGTGAAGGGGCTATCTCAGGGCCGGGAGGAGCCACAGCTCAAGCACCTTGCCGATGCGAAGCAACCCCTGTGGGAAGCAGGTATACAGTAGGTTAGCCCTGGGATAGTTCACACATATCTGGTCATGGACATAACTAGATACTGTTGTTCAGATTTTGGGACCCACCTGTCATGAGGGGAAAGTAACAGAACTGTCATCCAGGACAGTCCAAAAGGGGTGAGTGCCTGAGCCATGGGGTGGGCAAACAGCACTGTTTCCCATCTCATGGTTCTTCAAGGCCTGCTCTGATTACTCACACTTCCTCCTGGTGTGTGTTCTGGAAGTGTGCAGAGGAAACATCTGCTCCAGAATGTGATATCACCATGACAACAGTCAATCTTCAACACAAATCCATTTGGCAGGGCCTTACTTGCACCTAGCAAGCAAGTCATCAACAATTGCCTATCAAGTGTTCAAAACACTCCAAATAATTATTACTCAACTTTATTCTGGCCTTGGGACTTCCTAACCTTGTCCTGGGACCCCCTTGGGAGCCCCTCCCCCACCTCACACTTCTCCCATTAAGTACTAAGACCTAAAAGAAAAAGCCTAACCTTCCTCTGCTCTGCTAACATTTTGCCAGGTCTCAAAGAGACGCCAGAGCCCCATACTGTCAGGACTGCTATGAAACAACCAGCTACCAGGACGTGGCAGCACCCCAGCTTTCTCAGATCCCCCAAAGAAGATCTAAGCTACCAAGTCAGCAGGAAGTAGTCTTGAGAACTCAACATCCTTATTCCCTAACCTGCCACGCCCAAGCCCCACCTTTTTAATAACAATAAGGTGGGAATGTTAGGAACTAGCAGCCAGCTGACCCCCACCCCCAATGATGGGTGTGACGCTCATGGCCATGTCATCTCTATGTCAGCCTTACCTGGTGGCTCAAGCTTTACCTGGCTGCCAGAGGACTCAGTTACTCATGGGCAAGCCCCCCTTTTAAAGCAAGTGCGCCAAGCCGCCTCTCTCTCTCTTGCTCTCTCTCTGGCCCCCTTGCTCTCTCTCTGGCCCCCTTGCTCTCTCTCTCTCTCTCTCTCCTGCTTTCGGTTGGCCACCAGCTACCCCCCCTTCTCTCCCCTCTCTCCACTTGGGCGCTGAGTCTCGTGTTTGTGTTTTATAGGCATTAGCTGCAGCAAAAGAACAACAGCAATGACACATTAAAAACATGCATACATGTGGAAGAAGACATAGGCACACATGATGTGACATCTATTGTCCAACACAGCTAAGCACAGGGATCTTTTAACATAAATTCCAGGTAATGACTAACATACCAGGCCTCGGTGTCAGATGTGACTAAGAGAAAAAGGCAGGGCAGTGGTGGCCCACACCTTTAATCCCAGCACTCAAGGAGACAGAGGCAGGTGGATCTCTGAGCTTGAGGCCAGCCTGGTCTACAGGACAAGTTCCAGGACAGGACAGCCAGGACTGTTACACAGAGAACGCCTGTCTTGGGGGTGGGGGTGGGAAGCTACACACATTGGGGGCAGGAGAGATGACTTGAATTTATATCCACTTGTTGCTCTTGAAGAGGACCAGAGTTTGGGTCCCAGAATGGACTTGGGATCTTTGGATAGCCTGTAACTCCACCTCTGGGGAATCTGGCGCCCTCTTTTGTTTTCCTTGGGTGCTGCACACACACACACACACACACACACACACACACACACACACACACACACACACACACACACAAATAAAGCTAGATGTGGTGGCACACACCTTTAATCCCAGCACTTGGGAGTCAGAGACAGATAATCTCTCTGAGAGTTCTAAGCCAGCCTGGTCTACATAACAAGTTCCAGGCCAGCCAGAAATATCTACCTCAAAAATAAAAATAATGAATCTTTAAAAGATGTTATGTCACACACTGGCACTGTCATTTTCATGATCGTATGTGATGACATGTACTCTTCCACTTTGCAGGTTTCTTTATTTACCAGGGCTCAGGAAAGCACTCTAGAAAGAAAAAATTCCAAAATATGTGTTGAGCAGAGTCCTATGGAACAGCTGTAGAGAGGCTGGGGGTCTTTCTTCCCACTGTAGGTCACTTCCAGGTTGTGAGAACATTTCTCCCTGAGTCTCTGGAGCGGCCTGCTCTGGGCCCCACTGGCTGGCCCGGGCGGCTTCTGAGCTCTCTGTCAGCCCCGTCACCCTGGGCCAGCTCTTCGTCATACCTGAAACAGATCACTGTAGAATCACGAGGAGGGTGGTGGTGACACAGAGTGCCCACTGGGCTGCTGCAGAACAAACATATTACTGGAAAGAGTCACCTAGCTCCAGATTCTGGAAAAGCTCCTCCCCTCTCCAGCCCACGGCCTACAAGAGACTCCACTGAACACAAGATCACAGAGTCAGTGAGTGACACCAGTTAAAATGCCATCATGGACAGTCTGCCATCCTAGGCAGATGTCATTTTCATAGGCACTAACCTCTGAGGAGTTGTGATGAGAAACTAGTAAGCCAGCCCAGGATGGGGAGGGAGAGAGCGCCTGCCTGCAAACACACACACACACACACACTGCAAACACACACACACACACTGCAAACACACACACACACACACCCTGTGGCAGAAGGCCTAATCCCATTTCAGACAGGGAACCAGTTTCAGCAGACTGCCAGAAAGGGCTGGGTTGGGCTGGGACTCCTCCATCATGATGTCACTCTTCTGTCACTGTCCTCTCATGGCCTGTGTACCTCGGCCCTGTGCAGTGCTGAGGAACAGGCTGGTTGTCGGTCACGTCTGAAGAACTGGATATAGACTTGGTGCCCATTAGCAGGGCTCCTTCCTTTAGGCTCCTGAGAGTGGTGAAATATGTTACCCAAAAGAGATTACCTCTCCTCACCAGGACTTCCTACCACCCTCTGGCTCCAAATTCAGGCATGGCAGAGGTAGGGTTAACGATGGGGCTCCTGATTCCCAATTCAAGTCCTCACTCTGCAGCTGAGCTTCGAGAAGAGCATTTTTGGACACTTATTTTTAAAATGTAGTTCATTTATTAATTGGGAAGGGCTTTATTTATTATGTAGAGGTCAAAGAATGACGTGCAAGGATCAGGTCTCTCCTACTACATGGGTCCCCGACACAGAACATAGGTCATCAGGCTTGGAGGCAAGAACCTTTACTTACTGAGCCATCATTCTGGCCCTTACATTTTTTTTATTACATGGATTGACGACTGATTGATTGAGGGTATACATGTGCCCAGGTATAGAGGTCAGGGGGAAATTTGTGGAAGACACATCTCTCCTTCTACCATGTAGGTTTCAGGAATCAAACTTAGGTTGTCAAACTTGGCAGCCAGTGCCTTTGCCTACTATGGTGGTTTGAATGAGAATGGCCCCCCATAGGGCCATACTATTAGGAGGTGTGGCCTTGTTGGAGGAAGTGTGTCATTGGAGACAGGCTTTGATGTTTTAAATGCTCAAGCCAGGCCTAGTGTTCCTCTCTTTTCCTGCTGCCTGGCAATCTGGATGTAGAACTCCCAGCTACCTCTCTAGTAACATATCTACTTGTATGCTGCCATGTTTCCTACCATGATATCAGTGGACTAAACTTCTGAACTGTAGGGCAGCCCCAATTAAATATTTTCCTTTTTAAGAATTGCCATGGTCATGGTGTCTGTTCACAGCAACAGAAACCCTAAGACACCTACTGAGCCATATAGCTAGCCCTCTCTTTTGTTTGTTTGTTTTGATTTTGAAACAGTCTCACTAGGTAGCCCTGGCTGTCATGGAACTTGCCATGTAGACCAGACCGACCTCAAACTTATGAGATCTACCTGCCTCTGCCCCAAGTGTTGGGATTCACTATCATGTCTGACTTCTTTCTGGTCATTTTTAAGTGCTTTTTAGCCAGGTGGTAGTAGTGCACATCTTTAATCCTAGAACTCGGGAGGCAGAGGCAGACAGATCTCTTAGTATCAATGAAACTTTTGAAAACCAAAAAATAAAGTGTTTTCTTAGGTAATGGCTTGCTGCTACTTTGCCTGAGAACTCTGAGTTATATGCAGACATTTGTTCTAAGCAAACAAGTACCAAGATGCTTTGCTGTTACAGAAGCTGAATTTTCCTGACTTCTGTGCTGGTCCAGAGCCAGACTCTGTGGGTGATGTGGGGTCTGCATTAGGGACTCCTCTGGTGGATGAACACTCTCTGAATGGTGCCTATGGTGGCAGAGACTGACACACAGGAGGGCCTGGGTTAGTGTGCTGATGGGTTTCCTCAGCTGAGGCTATGCGTGGCACTGGTGTGACTGTCACAACTGCATCATCACATGCACGTGTGTTGCAGGAGAATTGCTGGCACTGCCAATAAAACTGCCACTGTGCCAATAAAGCCACCTTGAATCAAAGGTGGAGTCAGCGATTGGCTGGGATTAGCCACAGAGATGTTGGAGGACTGAGGAAATTGGATAGAGAGAGACAGGAAGAGAGAAAGGAGGGGCTGAGGGATTTCCAGGGTTTTGGGGATCGGAAAGTAGGGTCGCTGATCATCCCTTCACTGTTCCTTGGATTTATCAAGTTTTTAATCTTAATTTCTAAATCCTGAGTTTTTATTAACACTAGAACAATTTAGGCAAATGCAATAGATGTGTCTCGGCATTAGCCTGACTATGGAGGCACAGCCAGTCCCTCCAATAGAAGAAAGCTGCATAGAGAGCTTCCTCAAGGCACAAGAGCTTCTGTTAAGGAGCAACTTGGGTCCTGCCTCCAGGAGCCATATATGTGCCATCACACTCTGACCTGTACTGTGCTTCTGTCACAGACTGAGGGCGGAGTGATGTTGCCTGTCAGGCTTGGGGTTGCCCTGGGACTAGCTCAAGATGGGGAGGGACAGAACGTGCATGCGCGCACACACACACACACCCCACACACACAGCCTCCATGTGGCTCCGTGTGGCTTGAAAACAAAACAAAGAGGAGCATGTGGCAGACAGCTGGCAGTGGGCTCTTTGGTTCTGGGGGGAGCATCTTGCCTATTAGGCAGCTAATGTAAACAGCTGAAAGGGCGTTCCTAAGGGTTCTTTCTATTGGAACAGCTTCCCTTCTGGGTTCTGAGAGTGGGATCTAGGCACTGAGTTCTGAACTGCATTTTTAAAAAAAGGCCAAGAGTTAATTAAGCCAGGATGAACAAAGCTGGCCATGATCGGAACACCAAGGCCACAGGGACAATATGGTGTGATGGCGAGAGCACCATTTCTGGGCAGTATGACCTTGGGCACAAAAGCTGCAGTGCCAGCCCCCTTCTCTCCACACTGGTATACTCTGAAGGGATGCTATGAGCATGGATGAAATGCAGTGCTCCTGTCTGTGTACAGGGACAGGACAATACCTCCAGTGATGTAAGCTCCACCCACCCCATCAACAGCAACTCCTGACTACTGCCGCTGGGACCCAGCCTGGAGGGATCTGAAATACCAGGGGCACCGAGACATGAAAAAGAGCTTCCAGCTGCCAGTTCCAGCCCAAAGCCTTCTGTTCTCTTAAAGGTGTGTGAGAGGGTGGCTCAGGACTAGGGTTGAGGCTATGGCCTCTGCTTCTTAACCTGAAGATGAGCATCCAGCCTGCTCTGCAAATAGAGAGCACCACAAACTCCCACTGGGCCACCCTCCTTGCCACATCCTACTACACTAAAGAGGGACCCACCAAGACCCTCACTGTTCTAGCAAGACTCCCCCTCAGGACTCCCCCCACAGGCTCCCATTGCAGCTGACATGGATCACTCTCATATTGCCCTTACTTTCCACACTACCAACTCCAAGTTGCTCAGAACAGGGCCCCTCCGCATATGTGTGCAGTGCACTCTGGGGCTCTCTACTCATCATTAGAAACACCTGTGCCCTCTACTAGCCTTTGACTATCTCCTTTACCTCCTGCTATATTGCCTGGCTCTCCATGGAGCCCCATGGAGTGAGAACTGTTTCCTCTCTCTAAGACCCCTGGGTCTGGAGAAGCTTGCTTGATGGGAGATGTCATTCTGTTAATATGTTTCTCTTATTGGTTAATGAATAAAGCACTGTTGGCCAATAGGAAAGCAAGATAGGCTAGGAGACAAGGAGGATTCCAGGAAGGAGTAGGGAGGAGTCAACATGGAGAGACTGGAGAAAGCAGAATGCTGGCCCCTCTCTCCGGTAAGATGAGACCACATGGAAATACTTAGATTAATAGAAGTGGGTTAATATTTAAGACAGAGCTAGCCAACAAGAAACTAGTAACTGGCCAACAGAATTATATCTAATACAGTGTCTCTGTGTGTTAATTGGGGCTGGCGCGGCGGTGGAACCAGGCCGGCTGGGAAAAACTTACTCATAACACTTGCTCTCTTGACCCTCCTAGCCCCTTCCAAGGCAGGTCAGCAGAAACCTTGTCTGGCTCCTTCCTTACATATCACCTCTCCTCCTTCAGGGTCTTGCTGTTGATTGCCTTGGCCATAGCCAGTTCTCTGACTTCTGATGACCTTGACATAATCCATCTCAGTGCCACCCCCTTATAATGCCAAGCCCCAATCTTGCCCTGGTCAGTGCCTGCATCCCTTGCAGCCTCGTGTACCACCCCTCAGCCTCTGACAGTTCCCTGAGCTCACCACCCCAGTGCCTAACTGCCTCAGCCTGGATCCCCATCAGAGTTCCATCTGCTCTCTCAGCATCGGCAGCCCATTCTCCTCTTGTCTTCCTTGCCAGCTCCTACCTCTGGTTCCTTCCAATTTGGCTGCTGTCCCTATCCCAGGTTGCTGACAATCAGCCACACCCAATGGTTACTGTGAGGGCCACAACTACCACCCTCTAAGGCCCCGAGCCCTTCGGAAGCTCCACTCAATTCCCTTCTGAGCTTCCTTCTACTGCCCTTCCACCCCAGCTTCTGCAACTGTACACAGAAAGGTGGGAGGGGCTTACACAGGGACTCCAAAGTGCAGGCCTATGTTCAGATCCTCCACCAGCAGTGCACCTGTGTGCAAGAGTACACTTTACTAAATGTCCCTTTGTGCTTCAACTTTTGGTTGTTGGTGGTTTTGGTTTTTCAATACAAGGTTTCTCTGTGTAGTCCTGACTGTCCTGGAACTCACTCTGTAGACTAGGCTGGCTTTGAACTCACAGAGATCCACCTGCCTCTGCCTCTCAAGTGCTGGGATCAAAGGTGTGTGTTGTCATTGCCTGGCCATGTATACTTTTTAAATTAAGTGCTTATATGCAGGACTAGCTGAGGTGGTACACACCTTTAATGCCAGTACTTGAAAGGCATTACTTGAAAGGGGGCCAGTACTTGAAAGGGGGATTTCTACAAATTCAAGGCCAGCCTGGTCTACATAGTGAGACAGTATCTCAAAAAACAAACAAAAACTGCTTATGTTCACACAAGGGCTGTGGAGGTCACTGTCTGTCTTGGAAGACTGAATCAATACCCTTACCTGCAACTTAATTTTTCCCATTCAACCTCCTAGCCCACAGTATACATAGCACTAGGCCAATCTCTTTAATGGCCATCTAGCCTCCCATGGTATGAACAGACTATACTTTGGCCAAGTACTGTCGTCCTGATCCATTACTTTATATTTGTTTCTGATCCATAAGACAGAACCAAGCTACTACTCCACTCGCAAGGCACAGGATAAAGGAATAGAATGGAGTGCCTACAGCACTGGCCACAGACACTAGTACATGGGAAGCCCTGAGAGGTGAGCCATAAGAATCACTTTTTCCTTCCCAACCTCCTAAGGTGTTCGGACTGAGGCACACAGAGTTACACTAAGCACCTCACTGTCACATACCTACACAGGTAGAGATAAGGGATGAGCCCTGTGCTGTATGCATCCTGTCCCGAGCACCTCAGCAACCTGCACAGGTGCCAAGCAGTGGGGTTCATGCCTGGCATGTGGGGGATGCTTGGTGGGTATCTGCTACACAGAACAGACCCAAACCCCTTTTCTGTCTGTCAACAGTCCCCAAAGCATCAACAACAGACATGCTGCTCAAGAAAAGTGAGCTCCCCACTCCCCCTGTCACAACCAGAATAGTCAAAGGACACCTCAGTATGCTTCTGGCTAGACACAGGACCCCTGCAGAGCCACACACATACTTACAGGATTTCATAGTTGCCAAGAACTTCCTTGGGTGGAGACTTATTCCATTTGCAGTCGGGAATCTCACCATTGGGGACCGCAATGTTGAGGGTGTCATTAATCAGGTTGTATTTAAGAATTCGATCATTGGCGGTGCTGGAGGTGAGAGATGGGGACGCGTTAACCTACAAGGAGAAAAGCACACGTCCTTCACTGTGGCACTTCCTCCTCTGGAATGAGAGGTGCAGGAGCCAGCATGGGCCATGTGCTCCAGGATGCTTGTGGTCATTTAAATAGACATCTCACACCTGCCAAGCGCCTCATATAGAAAGCTCTCAGAGTTAGCTGTCAACTTGACATATCCTAGAGTTGCCTGAAGAACTGGGTCTTATCAAAATGGGTCTGTGAGGGATTTTCTTCTCTTTCTACTCTTTTCTTTACACATTTACTTATTTTTGTGTGTGATGCGTGTGTATTTGTGTGGGCACACACATGTTACAGTGCACATGTGGTGGTCAATGGGCAACTTGTGGGAGTTGGTGCTGTGCATTCTGGAAATCAAACTCTGATTGTCAGGCTTGGCAGTGAGTGCCTGGACACCCACTGAGCCATCTTGTCGGCCCCATGAAGCATTTTCTTCAGAGCCTGTTTATGTAGGAGAGCCCAGCCCATGGTGGGCAGGGCAGTCCCTGGACAGGTGGGCCTGAGCTGTATAAGAAAGGTGGTTGAGTAAGTCAGGTAAGCAAGCCAGCAATCAGTGCTCCTTCATGGCCTCTGTTCCAGTTCCTGTCTTGGCTTTCCTGGATGACAGACCATAGCCTGTAAGCCAAGTAAACCCTCTCCTCCCCAAAGTTGTGTACTTTTTTCTTTAAGGTTTATTTATGTTTTGTTATGAGTCTTTTGCCTACATTTATATTATCTACTACCTGTGTACAGTGCCCATGGAGGCCAGAAGAGGGTGTTGGATGCCCTGGAACTAGAGTTACAGATGGTTGTGAGCCATGTAGATGCTGGGAATTGAACCCAGGTCCTCTGGAAGAGCAGCCAGGATCTAACCACTGAACCATCTCTCCAGCCTCCTCCCAAGTTGCTTCTTCTCTGCTCCAGCAAGGCAGGGTTTCTCTGTATAACAGTCCTGGAACTCATTTTGTAGGTCAGACTGGCCTGGAACTCACAGATATCTGTCTGCCTCTGCTTCCCAAGTTGCTTTTGATCAGTTTTGTTTTTGGTTTGGGTTTTGGTTTTTCGAGACAGAGTTTCTTTGTGTAGCCTTGACTGTCTAGCTCTGTAGACTAGGCTGGCCTCAAACTCAGAGAGATCCACCTGTCTCTGCCTCCCACGAGTGCTGGAGTTAAAGGTGTGCGCCACCAGCTTATTACAACAGAGAAACAAACTAGGAGGGAAGCTGTTTCTACTGGTTGTTAGATGAACTATGAATAATATTTAAAGACAGGATCACAATTGCCTATTGACTCCAGCTCCAGGGGGATCTGATGCCCAATTCTGGCCTCTGCAGGCACCTGAATTCATGTGCACATCACCACCCCACCATCAAACCCCCACCTGAGACTCACACATGCAATTAAAAATAAAACAAATCTTTAAGAGAGAGAGAAATAATAGCTGTAACTTGGATCTCAGTTCACCAAGGGAAATGTGACTTCCATCCAAGTTACTGTATTTGAGGTGCAGTAAGCCACCACCTCTAACCCCAATACCTAGAAGCCTGATATAGGAGGGTCATGAGTTCAAAACACAGCTACACAAGACCCCATTCTCAAAAGAAAAAAGGAAGGCATGGAGGAGGGAGGGAAATATTACATCTCCCCCTGCACCCCTCTCTCTGACCCCAGCATCATCATCGGGTTCCCATTATGGAGCCAGCTTGCTCTAGATAACTTGATCACCACAAGCTCCTCACTGAGGTTCCCTCTGACTTTCTCTGTAGGGGGCTAAGCTCTACTCCTTGCACTTAAAAGACTTCTAGGATTTCTGGCTTGAAATGGAACTGAAGGGCTTGAGATGTATGTTTCCAAGTGAGCTTGTTGAGAGGGCAGGTGTCGAGTGACACACAGAGAAAACAACACAATGGGGCTCCTGCATGCTTAAGACATCTCCCATCCTTGTCCTCCTGGCAACTGTGACCTCAGACGGGGCACCAGTACCCGCCTCTCTGAAAAGGCTGTGATAATCTCCACCAGCCTGATGGGCTTTGCAGTCACCTAGGAGACACACCTCAGAGTAACTTTGGGAGTGTTTCCAGACAAGCTTAATTTAGGAAGGAAGACCCACCCTGAATATGAGTGACACCATCCCATGGGCGGGGCCCTAGGCTGAAGGAAGAAGGAAGTCAGTGGAGTACTAGCATTCATCTCATTCTGCCTCAACTCTGAGCACCAATGTACCCAGAATGTACCCCCACCACGAATGTACCAATAAAACTCCCCTGAAGCTGTTTGTCAGGTATTTGATCACAGTGCTGAAAAGTAGCCGACACAGTGGCTGTGTCCAGGAAAAAGCCCTGCTGTACGGCAGGTTGTGTCCATCCCGTCCTTTCTAGGTCCGCCACCACGACACCCTCTTCAACAGGCGGATGGATCCACATTCAAATTATACCTTAACACACACTGTAGAACAGTAAGGATGTTCCCTTCCCCCGTGGCACTGCCGGCCAAGGCGACAGGGTTGTGAGTTACCTCAATCAGCCAGGGCTTCAGCTTGTCATCGATGATGATGTCGTAGCCATAGCATTCAAAGCAGTGCTTGTCATTGTTCATCACTGGCTGTGGAGTGACCAACAGGTTATAAAGCCACATCCTGCTGGGCGTGGTGGCCCACACCTTTGATCCCAGCACTCGGGAGGCAGACTGATCTCTGTGAGTTCGAGGCCAGCCTGGTCTACAGAGTGAGCTCCAGGACAGCCAGGGTTACACAGAGAAACCTTGTCTCAAAAAACAGACAAGCAAGTACATAAATATAAAGATACATCCTCAGAGGCCAAAGGGACTTTCCCATACTGCTGACTTCCTCCCTCCCTCTCCCTCTCTCTCTCTCTCTCTCTCTCTCTCTCTCTCACACACACACACACACACACACACACACACACACACACAATCACATACATACCCCCAGCAGGCTGCCTCTCTTTCCTCGTAGCCTTGTGAAACCAAGTAAAAATAAGATTATAAACCTAGAACCCATGTCAGGAAGCTCATATCCATCTGTAACTCCAGCTTCAGGGGATCCAATGCTTCTGGTCTCTGTGGGCACCTGTACTCACATATACATTCACACACATACACACACACACCTCTACACATAATTAAAACAAAACAAAAAAAACACTACCTACTCAAAAGCTTGAGACTCACCACACCCAGTCAGAGGGCCAGGAGAAGTACCCCTTCTATGAGGTAAATGTGTACAAGGGACTCGTCTAAGGGAGGAAGATGCATACAACCTAGGAATTTTGCATCTCTCACATATCCGTGGGGACATGTCTCCAGGCCTGTGTACTCAGGTTCTGCACAAGTGGGTGGGTCTGTCAGGGGCCAGCTCAGAGGCAGGCTGATTATACTGCCCTCAGAGGGCAAGCTGAGGAATTCTGTGTCCTACAAGTGACTTCAGCAGTGGGCTGACTGCCTCCCTGTTCCTCCTGAGAGAGGGCATGGGAGACAAGGAAACTGGCTTTGAGTCAGGAGCCTTTCCCTCTGTTCTCAATCTGGGGTCAGGGCCCCCATTTTCTTGTGAGTTATATGGGGAAGCAAAGACACCCCAGAGACACCATCTGTCAAGTCCTGAAAATAGGGGCCAGTACACCACTGTTTATTCCTATCACTCAAAAATAGAAGTGCACCTGCCTGAAAACTGCCATCCAACAAGCAGACCAAAGACCCAAGGTTAGGAACAAAGAAGCAGGCTATTTCCAGCCTTAAATAGCTGCCTGAAGAGAAGGCTGCTGCAGCCCCTACCCAGAGGAGTGTCGGCTCATGACAAAACACCCACCAAGAAGGGCTGATGGTGGAGAGCAGAGGCAGGCAATCTCTGTGAGTTCCAGACCACCCCAGTAGCATTCTCCAGGACAACCCTGGCTACACTGTGAGTCCATGTCTCAATAAACAGGATGAAAGGAAGTAAAAAGAGATGATGTAAATGGAACTCTATACTTCTGCAGAGGCTTCGGGGCCTGTGTCCATCAGAGGCTGACCAGGCTATCCAGAAAGTGGTCCCAATCCCTTCCCAAAACTGTTACAGGCCCTGGCTGACACACGGGCAGGATGAGAGAGCAGAGGCACTCCAGGCTGTATAACACTTATTGAGAACCCCTGGTTAGAACAGTGCCTCCCATTGGGCTTTCAGGGACCACTTGCCCTGTCCCCAACCTGTCACTCACTGCCACGGCCTTGAGAGACTGCACGATGATCCAGTGGATTTCGTCAAACAGTTTGCTGGTCACCTCCCTGCCTCGAGTGCTCTCCAGGTAGAGTCGCAGGTTGTTGACAGTCCACTTGCCACCATGAATATGGTTGTAGTCCTCCTAGTGAGGGAGGAGGAGGGCAAGTGGCCTTCAGGACACAGCCTGGAGGAACCCAGCCACTTACCCTCAAGTGCCTCCTGGGTACAAACAGCTACCCTGAAGTAAGACAGAGGGGACCCCTACCCATGGTGGTCTGTGCCATTTACTACAAATATTGTTAGATGTTCAGCTCCCTACCAGTCTCATAAGCAACTATTTCCACTCAGTAGCCCACACTGTGAAGTGCCACCAGCAGCCCCTTCCAGAACAAGGTACTCATTTCTTGCTCCCCAGAAGCTGCTCTAGATTAATGATTTTGGCCATGGTGTTTTATCAAAGCAATGGTCACCCTCACTAGGACAAATGTGTATGCTAATAGTTCCAGCATTTGGAAGGCTGAGGCAGGAGGGCAACCTGGGCTACTTAGCAAGAGTCAATCTAGAAAAAAATGAAACAAAGAGGGCTGGGCATGATAGTGTACTCCTGTAATCCCAGCACTCTGGAAGCAGAGTCAGGCAGATCTCCATGAGTTCCAGGACAGTCAAGACTACATAGAGAAACCCTGTCTTGAAAAACCAAACAAACAAACAAAATAAATAAATAAATAATATAGCTCTAGCCTTGGCTACAGCATGAGTTCAAGGTTTGCCTGAGTAACTTAGTGATATATTGTCTCAAAGTAAAAAGTAAGAAGAGGCTAGGAGACTGGGAATACAGGTCAGTGGTAGACAGATTACCCAACATGCACCAATGCACCAGACCCTCAGGCCAATTTCAGCACAATGACCAACAGAGGTTTATCAGGACATCACTCTCCAGCATTGAGCCAACTTGTCCAGGATCACAGAAGCAGAAAGGTGGGGCCTGAACTTACACTCTTGTTTCTCTAAGTACCCTCACCTCTATCCTAACCCTAAGCAGGCATTCAAGTAATGTGCCTGGACAGTAATACCTGCTACTGTGTGTCCTTTCAATGTCTGGGCCTGAAGCCATTGGGTTGTGAATGGCTCTCCTAGAAACAGCCTGGTCCCCTCTTGCAAATACACAGGAGAGAAAATCCCACAAAGCCAGCCTACTTCCTGATGCCCAAAGAGGAACTACTCACCCCGTGCTTCTGGATGGCTACATTTGTAAGGTGAACGAACATGTTGTCCAGCTCGCTGGTGCTCGGGGTGTACTTTACTGTGCAGAAACGGCAGAAGCCAAGCTTGTACCTGGGAGGGAACTCAGACTGAGATACAGAACACCAGAGAGAAAATATGCCAGTCTACTCAAGAGAAGAGTGGTTGCTATCTTCCAATGCTTTTGGTTTCACTATGTAACCCAGGCTGATCTCAAACTCAATACCTTCCCATCTCTACCTCCCGAGTGCTGGGATTACAGGTGTGCACACCACACCCCACTTGCTACAAATGTCCAAAAAAGTGGCATTCTTATTTGTAAGATTTACAGTAGCTTCTAGGTCACCTGCTCTTAAACAAGACCTATGTGCATTTCCCATGACACTGAGTCACTAAGCCTTGAAGCAGGTGCAGACTCTTACATGTAGCAGCGCAGTGGGCGGTATGTAGACACCAGGACATACAGACGCAGGTCAAACTTCCTCCCACCAATTAGCAACGGATTATTGATATAGAGCGAGATCACGTAAGCTTCTTTTGTGGATTGAGACACAAACCTAAACGTCAGAGAAAAGTCACAATTAGATTGTAAAATATACAAGATTAAAGACACTTCTTACAAAGAAGAGAAGTGATAACTTGCTGGCCACTGTGATGGCTTTGACAGGGTTTCTCTGTAGCTTTGGAGTCTTGCCTGGAACTAGCTCTATAGACCAGGCTGGCCCTGAACTCACAGAGACCCATCTGCCTCTGCCTCCCAAGTGCTGGGATTAAAGGTGTACACCACTACGGTTTGCTTTCTTTTTTGATTAATTATTTAACATGTATGGATGTTTTGTCTGAATGTGTATCTGTGTACCACATGCATACAGTACTGTGGAGGGACTGGAGTTACAGTTATGAGCTGTCATGTGGCTGGGACTCAAACCTGGGTCCTCCAAAAAAAACGCAGCGTTCTTAAGAGCTAAGCCATCTCTCCTTTCTGTGTACCATGTGCATGCAGTGCTCACGAAGGTCAGAAGAGGTATTAGATTCCCTCCAACTATAGTTATTGCATACAGTTGTTAGCCACCACATTGGTTCTGGGAAACTAATCCAGGTTCTCTGCAAGACTAGCAAGGCTTTTAACCACAGACTACTGTGAGCAGCACCATTCCCTAGGCCAGGGATCATGAACTAACATGATGAAGAAGCTACTGAGCACAAGTAATCAAGAGGGCATGCATATATTAATTTCTCTCCACTCTCGACTGTGGGTATGATGCCCCCTTTATTTCCCTGTGATTGAATGTAACCTGGAATTGAGAGCTAAATCAATTAGCTCCTCCTCTTGAGTTGCTTTTTGTAAGTGTGTTTTATTGCAGCAACAGAAATCAAACTGAGACAGCCATTAAAATTAGAAATCTCTATGTAGCTGGGTGTGTGATACACCTCTTGGCATTCACCCAAAGGAGCTGAGGATCTGATCACACACACACACACACACACACACACACACACACAGCAATGCTTACACAACACAGTCACTGTTGCCAGGACATGCCAGCAATCAAGGAGGAAGGAGGCCTTCAGTAGGTGAGTGGGTAAACTGTCAGATAACAAAATGATTTATTCAGTGACAGAAAGAAATGAGTGAACAAGCCAAATAACATAATGTAAAGTATGCCAAGTACTTAGGGAGATCTTTAAAAGTGACAGCAGTCAACCTGAAAAGGCTCCATACTGTGTGATTCTAGCCAGATGACATTCTGAAAAAGGAAAAACTAGGCAATCAGTAAGAAGAGTAGCTGCTGCCAGAGGATAGGCTGGAAGTGGGAGAGGGAGGTGAGCAGAGGGCCGGCCTAGTGAAACTGCTTTGTATGACCCTGGGTGGGTAGAAACATCATCCTACACTGTCCAGAGTCACAGAATGGACAAGAGTGAGCCCTGACAAATATGATAAACTGCGTGCGCACCTCTTTTGGGATGGGACTGGGGGTGACAAAGGAACCATGGAGGATATCTCAGCTAGAAGCCATGGCAAAAGCTGCAAAGACAGCCCCCTGGGAACCCACCCAAGCAGGATCCTGGAGCAAAGTGTAATCATTCTGAAGCATTCTATACAAGAAGGATCCTCTGCTACTCTGGGGACTCCTGATGGACAAGTCACCACTCCTGGGAAATTATCATACTGAGGCCTTGCTGCAGGCTCTCCAGCTAAGGACTCCTCAAATACAGAAGTTGGTAAACCCAGGGCAAACTAGACTCCACCTGCCAACTAACCTGCTGCCCGCTCAGGTGCCCCTGGCAGGGCACTCTCTACTCTCCCCAGGCTTTACCCTGGCAACCTGCTCCACCAGGACTGGTGATGTTACTGTTCTCAGTTCCCTCAGACACAGACTCAGAGGCACCGACTGGGACCCCAGCTCTGAAGCTTGTGCCTCACTGTCACAACTGTGCCTGCCTCAATCAGCTTGGGAACCAAGTGGCCTACAAGGCCACTGCCTAGGACCTATACCATGTCCTCCATGGCTTACCATGGGGAAATCTGTAGTTAATTACACGTCTTCCGCCATAGAGCCCAGATGGGGTACCGCATAACAAGTGCACAGCTGGGAAAGTGGACAAAGGCTGGCCAGCCCATCGTGACTGAGGCTACAGAACGGCAGGACGCAAATAACCGGAACCTTGCATGCAGTTCATGGTTTGTCAACTCACGAGGATGTCTTGCTGTCCCTCGACCACTTTTTGATCTGTGAGAGCTTGTTGATAAGGAAGATGCCCTTTCCCTGGGCTTTGCCACAAGGCTTCATGATCCAGGTGCTGGATGGGCTCTTCCGGAATTCTTCCACAAACAGGTTGTAGTCAGCAGGGAGCATGTAGGTGACCGGGACAAAGTCTGAAGTAAAAACACCATTGCCATAAGTAGCTGCCCGCCTGGAGCCAAGGGCAAGAAAACATCAGGGCTCCTCAGCACCCTGTCACCTCAACCCTGAACTTACATGACAGGATTGTTGCTGTCCTGTTCCTGTGTATACTAAGAAGGGGCCCTGTTCAGCTGTGTGCATGGACCTTTACAGACGTACATCACTTAAACTCCAAGCAAACTGTCTGCTAGGCAGCTACCATTTCCCACCTACCATGTGGGGAAACAATCCAGGGAAGTTGGTGACAAAGTTCTGCCCATGGCCTGGAAAGATGGCTCAGTAATTAAGAACACTGGCTGCCCTTGCAGAGGACCTGGGTTCGGTTCCCAGAAACCACATAGTGACTCACAACCATCTGTGACTCCAGTTCCATGTGATCCAATGCCCTCTTCTGGTTTCCATGGGCACAGCACACAGGTGGTACACAGACATACATGCAGACAAAACACCCATTATATAAAATAAAAATAATATCTCAAAAGAGATTTGTTTCACTCTGCTCTGGTATGAGATCCTGAACTGCCAAGCAGCTAGCTTTGATCCCTAGGTAGACCAGGGACACACACCATCCCTGAGTGTGGCTTGAGAGAGTAGTGGCACTGGGCACACCCTTCTCAGTAACTCCACAGTCACAGAAACTCAAGAGTCCAAAGCAAGCTCAACCCTGCCCACCCACCAGGAGACACACCAAAGGAAAAACAGATGCCCACAGAACCCACCCCAACCCATTCACCTTGCAAAGCCAGCCACCAATGCCTCAGTGCCTTGTGTTCCTGAAATGCTTAATTCAGTGTATTGGCTAGCTTTTTTGTTTTGTTTTGTTTTATCAACTTGATGTAAACCTAGACATATCTGGGAAGAGAACATCTTTTTGTTGTTGTTGTTTTTAATGTATTTATTTTTATTTTATGTACATTGTTTTTGTTTTTGATTTTTGCCTGCATATATGCCTGTGTGAAGGTGTCAGATCTTGGAGCTATAGACAGTTGTGAGCTATCATGTAAGTGCTGGGACTTGAACCCAGGTCTTCTGGAAGAGTGTTCTTAACCACTGAGCCATCTCTCTATGGAAGAGAAAATAGTTTTTTGTTTGCTTGTTTGTTGCTATTATTTTTCAAGACAGGGTTTCTCTATGTAGCCCTAGCTGTCCTAGACCTAGGTCTGTAGATTCTCCTCCCTCTGCCTCCTGAGTGCTGGGATTAAAGTTATGTGCTACCACTGCCCCTGCTGGAAGATGAAACCTTAAGAAACTGCTTTCATTAGATTAGCCTGTAGGCAAGTCTGTGGGCATTTTCTTGATTGATGGCAGATGTGGGAGGGCCCAGCCCACTGTAGGTGGTGCCATTCCTGGGCTGGTGGTCCCGATCATATGAGAAAGCAGGTTGAGCAAGCCATGGGGAGCAAGTTGGTAAGCAGTCTTCCTCCATGCATCTGCCTCAGCTCCTCCTTGAGTTCCTGTCCTGACTTCCCTCAATAATGCATTGTGACCCAAGAGTTGTAAACTGAAACACACCCTCACCTCCATAAGATGCTTTGGTCACTATATATATATATATATATATATAGATATAGATATAGATATAGATATAGATATAGATATAGATAGATAGATATAGATATAGATAGATAGATAGATAGGCTGGAGAGAGGGCCTCAGCCTTTAAAGGCTAGGTTCACAACCAAAAATATAAAAAGATTTATATATTTACTTTTTAATTATGTGTATGTATATGTGTGTGGGGGGTATATGCACATGGGTGCAATGTTTAAGGAGGCCAGAGGTCTCATATTGTCTGAAGCTGGAGTTATAGGCTATGAGCCACCTGACATGGGTTCTGGGAATCGAACTCAGGACCTCTGAAAGAACAGTACCTGCTCTTAGCCACTGAGCCATCTCTTCAACCCCTGGTCGTGATTTCTATCACAGGAACAGAAACGCTCACTAAGAGTCACTCAGCTACTGACTTAAGACCCAGGGCAAGCTGGAAGGCACCAACCCAGATAGAGGTATTTTCCATTCTCGTCTTTTTCTGCCAGAGGACTTCCTTCCTTCTCCAGTTCCTTCCTGTATCTTTTAATGTTCTTCACCATCAGGTCTTTGCGGGTCAGTTCATAGTGGTTGGGGAAATGGTTGACAATCTGGTCATCAGAGAGACGGTACCCAGTTTCCACACTGAAGACATTGCGAATGGTTTGCACACTCATCCTGAAACATAGGCACAGAAGGGACAGGGACTGAGAGCCGTGTCACCTAAGAGCATGCCTGCTCACAGCCCTGCCCTTTCCAGGAGTCCATACTGGTTACCAGCATACCCAGAGGCTACAGCATGGATGGGCTGTGGCCAGGCTGAAGGACAGGGTGGCTTTGACCCCATGCCTTGATAGTTGCTTCAGGTCCCAAGTAGAGCCCATTCATTGCTCATTGGCTGGTGCCAGGCTCATGTATGCACATGCTGTGTGCTCAGACATCAGAAGAGGCACTGGATCCCCCAGAACTAGAGTTTCAGGTGGTTGTGAGTTGCCACATGGATGCTGGGAATCAAACCCAGGTCCTCGGGAAGAGCTCTTAATCGTGAGCCACCTCTCCAGCCCCATCAGGCTTACTATTTTAATACAGTTGACAGACAAGGTGAGACAGACCCTTTCAGAAGCTAATGTCAGGAAACAAATTTGTATCCAAATTCAGGAAAAGCATTGGAACACTAAAATCAGCATGGAGACTCTAGGCCGAAAGTCAGCATATCTTATTCTTGGACTCCCACAGGGAGGGCTCAAGTGGACAGTCAGACAAAGTCATTCTTATTCTATTTTACACTGTAACAGATTGAACCCTGGGCATTGTACATTCCAGCAAGTGCCTAACTCTGAACTCTGTCCCCAGCCTAGAAATGGATGGCTTTTAATCCTCTACCAAAGCCACTGCCTCCATCCAGCTCAGGGGACAGGGAAGATGAAGGAAGGAAGGTTAGTTGGCACCTATGAGGAAACCACTGAACAGCAAGACAAAGCAGCTTGTCACCGGTCCCTAGCCCAGCCAGTGCCTCAGAAACTCCTTTAGTTAACTGGTTTCAAGCACTGAGCTCAGTTTATTTACACAGAAACACAAAAGGTAGAGATGCTTCAATAGGTTCAACTGACAATACATTTTGAAAACTCAAACTTATTCAATGAAAAAAAAAAAAAAAGAAAGAAAGCACTAAAGATAGCTTTTTACTCTCACCAGTAAAAATTCCAATCTTCATTCTCTGTCACTTGTATCCACCCTCTCTTCTCAAAGTTGTTGATTAGCACCGACTTCTCAATGTCAGTGACCCACTTCACCCTTCCTGCCATGATCCTGGAAGAGACCCAAGTCATTATACTTGGAAACTTCACCTAATCACCATACAAAGCAAACATACAACCCCCGCCATGCACACCTTCAAGCTCACATGGGTGTTTCCAGACTGGCTAATACAGCCCAAGGGGCTTATGATGATGTCTAGAGACACCCTGAACAACACATATGGGAAAGGAGGAGATGCTTCAGGCATCTAGTATGACAGGTTGGGGACACTGGTCAACATCCCACAGGCAGACAGGCCTCCATCCCTCCATAAATCCCCCTGCCCCTACATCAACCAGGTCTAAGGGGGCTAGTTTAACACTCATTAACAAGTATCCAATGGTACCTGTGGTCAGGAACCACAGGAGAGGCATAAAGGGCTACAGGGACAGGAGGGTCTCTGTTCAGAGCAGGTGAGGAAGGCTGTTCTGGGAAGTGGACCCCTAAGTAACCTCTGATGAAGTAGCAAGGGTTTGCACATCCATCCTGCTCTAGGCATCATTATTCCCTGTCCCACACTACCTATCTCCTTGCCTCTCCTTTACCTCATTCATTCTAACCATGTTCAAGAAAGGAAGGAAAGGGAGAGAGGGAGAGAGGGAGAGAGGGAGAGAGAGAGAGAGAGAGAGAGAGAGAGAGAGAGAGAGAGAGGAATCAAGAAACTGCAGAGATGGTTCAGTGATTAAGAATACTGGCTGCTTCTCTAGGAGTCCTGCATTCAATTCCCAGAAACCACATGGTGGCTCACAATCATCTATAATGGGATCTGATGCCCTCTTCTGGCATGCAGACATATATGGAGACAGGGCACCATATATTTAAATAAATTAAAAAAAAAATCACTGTTGCCAGGTGACAGCAGTACATGCCATTAATCCTATCACTCTGGAGGCAGAGGAAGGCAAATCTCTTGAGTTCAAGGCCAGCCTGATCTACAAAGAGCGTTCCAGGACAGCCAAAACTATACAGAGAAACTCTGTGTCAAGAGGAAAAAAAAAAAAAAAAAGCAAACAAACTTTGTTTTGAGATTTTATTTATTTTTATTGTATGTGCATGGGCATACATAGAACACCAGGTGCTGGTAGATGTGACATACACCCCCACTCTCATCCTGCTGGGCAGGAAGCAAGCCTAAGCATTAGGAGGACAGAGGTTCATGCAGACCACCCACTGCTCTTCCCAGACATCTTATACACACTCTCTGTCCCCAGCCATGGGAGTGTTAGCACTTACCATAGGTCCTTCTGCAGTTCCTGGAATGATCACAATCTCTCAGCTTCACTGACAAAAACAGAAGTGACACAAAACTGAGCTACAGTTATGGAGCAAAATTTGACCAGACAAATAGATATCCAGGATGGTATTTGGTTAATCAATGTGCACCGAACAGGTTCGTAGACGATAATGGTTTTGGAGTAGTCACTCATGGTGAGTTACATGTCACCCTAACATGTAGACAGAAGAAACAGAAAGATCCCATACAAGTTTGAGGTTAGCCACATCTGTAATGTCAGGTCCAGGCCAGCCAGGGTTTAGTGAGACTCTGTCTCAAAAGAAAACACAGTCAGGCACCTTCAACCCCTGGACTCAGGAGGCAAAGGCAGGTGGATCACTTTGAATTTGAGAATACCCTGGTAGTGAATTCCAGGATAGTTAGGCCAATAAAGTGAGGCCCTATCTCAAAAAATATACCAAAAAAAAAAAAAAAAAAAAAAAAGAGCCTTCACGATCACTATACACACATATACCCATATATTTATAGAGGCACATACACACAAATAATAAAAACTAAATCTTAAGACATTTGCATGCCAGATCAAGACAAAGCCATCTGAGGTGACCAACCACAGCCTCCTGGGTGTTTCAGAAGACAATATGCCATCCCCCTGTCCCAGGTTTGGGTACAGCCTTTGCAAGGAGGACAAGGTTTCTTATGCCAACCCACAGCCTAGCTTTTAGTCATCCACTAGGCAATGACAGGCACTTGGCACAGAAGAGAGCTGAGATAGTCCAATCCCAGAGAAGGTGACCTACACATAAGGCAAGGTGCCTTCATAACACTGTGACAGAGCTCAGCTGTGATCCTGGGGGGAGCAAATCAGGTGTAAGCTGTATCCCAGCAGGCTCCCAAGTCCATACAAGGCTCTCCATAGCCTACAGCTCTGCTGGACAAACACAGCAGGCCTAATGGCCTCCTTGCTTCTGCCCATGTCCTAGTGCGACCCAGCACTCTCTTTTTGGACACACATCAAGTGAAGTCACCAGCTCCTAAGCTACACCTTTTTGGCTATGGTATTCAGAATAAACGTAGGAGTCCGCTCATGTCCCACAAGGCCAGCCTGAGCCATCACCTCCCAGCCCTATCACCCATCACCTCCTACTCCTCCCTCCCCAGCTCCTACCTTCTTTCATCCCATGTCCACCAAAATGAGCCTGTGCTGTTCCCACAGACCTGGCCCCTTCTCCATGTCCTCTCCCAGGAGTAGTTTATCCTGACTGCCCAGTTTCAGTCCCGTGACAGTGTCCCCACACTGTCCCCAGAGGATGCATTCTGATACCCCATTGATGCCTGAAACTTTGGTGAGTACTGAGCAAGCCCTATATAAACTGTGTTTCTTCCCATCCATGCACCTGTGACAAACTTGTGCATCTTCACTTAAGGAAAGCACTTTCCAAACAGCCAGGATCATCCTCCTACATCGTGAGGCCTGTTACTGTGAACAGAAACACTGTGATAACTCAAGGGTCAATCTGGTCACTGAGGTGGCTACTATAGAGACTGACCAAAGGGACAGGAGCATATATACAGTGACTACAACTGGACAAGAAATGATTACTTAAGTTCCAGACAGGACAGGGCACTACAGTACAATACTTCATAGTAATCAGAACAATGGACCATTCACAACTCAAACATCATATATTTTGGGGGCTAAAGAGATAGCTCAGTGGTTAAGAGCACCGGTAGGTCTTATAGAGGACCCAAGTTTGGTTTCCAGAACCTGCATAACCACTCTGTGAGTTCAAGGCCAGCCTGGTCCATAGAGCAAGTTCCCCAGGACTATACAAAGAGACCCTGTCTCAAGAACACAACAAAAAAGTGGGCTGGCAAATGGCTCAGCGGGTAAAAGTGGTTGTCATACAAGCCTAATGACCTGAGTTTGATTCCTGGAAGACACATAAAGTTGAGAACCAAGTCCACAAAGTTACCTCTGACATCCACATGCATATGGATACACACACAAGCATGCCTACATACAAGCATCATACACATGATAATGAATAGATGACAAATGATAAGAGAAGTAAGTAGAGTCACACATGGTGGCACAGGTTTGCAATCCTAGCATTTGGGAAGTAGAGGCAAGAGGATCAGAAGTTTAAGACCATCCTCAAGCATAGGGAGTTCCAGACCAGCCTGGGCCAACCCTGTCTCATAAAACTCAAAAATAAATCCCCCCTGTATAGGATCAAGTAAGTGCTACTCAGGCCAATCAGTGAGTGAGAGGAAGTCTAGCCATAGTGGGGGCAGATCTTTCTCCTACAGAGGTATAAGACCAGCAACAATAGCCCATAAAGACTTGGCTTTCCAGAAACATGCAGAATGGTACAGGGTGACAGCCAGAACACTTGCCTGTTGGAGTACACCTACAACCCCAGGAGGACAGACACAGGCCAAAGACCTTCACCGCCTGCTGTGATTACAGGCCTAGACACAGGAGAGAAGACAGCCTTCCTAGGAAAAAGCAAGCAGAAGAGAACTTACCAGTCTCATCACCCTCTGTGTCCAGCCTCAGAAAACAAGAACCCTCTCTGCTTCCCACACTTTGACATTTTTACAAATTAGTGTTGGTTAAGACCCCAAAACACTAGGATTCCCAGTTTATAGATTCTTTCCCAACAAGCTTTCAATGAAAGGTAGAAAAGGTTATCTCTAAAAAAATAGAACCATGGGGCTGGAGAGATAGCTGTTCTGTAAAAATGGGCACTGCTCTTGCAGAGGCTGTAAGTTTGGCTCTCAGCACTCACAACAGGCAGCTCACAACCTCTTGTAACTCCAGCGCCACGGGCTCACATCTGCCCTCTTCTGGCCTCCACTGGTACTTGCACTCACATGCAACACCCCCCCACACACATACATACATACATACACAATTAAAATTAAATAAAGAAGCCAGGCATGATGGCTTTAATCCCAGCAATCAGGAGGTGGATCACTGTGAATTCAAAGCCAGCCTGGCCTATAAAGCGAGTTCCAGAACAGTCTGGGCTCCCACATCTAAAAAAAAAATTTTTTAATAATAAAGAATATTTAAATAAAGAGAGTAGTATATAATACTGCACGCCCATGAACTGCAGCCCTCTCCACACCTCTGTTGGTTGCCAGTGCTATGTCTCAAAGCGGACTTTACCAGCGTCTCCAGTTCCTTGAGAACAGATCAGGGCCTCTGCTTTTGTGCTGTCACATACATGCCAGCACTGTAATATGTTCATTAAATGTTTCCTGAACAAAGCCTGCTTACTAACTCCAACTCGGTTTGCAACGCTATACTTCAGTTGAGGACACAGGCCTTGCAAAGCCCCTGCGACTCCACAGAGGGCCACCACTCCTGGACCTCTCTCCTAACAAAGAAGGCAATACCTCGGCTGGATGCAGTCTCACAGGAGAGCCAATGGAGCGGCCCTGAGCTCCAGGCACAGGTGCCCCCACACACACACTCCCGGAACAGATGCCACCACCGCAAACAGCAAACACAGATTGCGGATGCACTGAAAGCTTAGAAGCCCGCGAGAGCCTGGACTTGCCGAAAAGAAGGATAACAATGCAATTACAGCAATCGGAAGGCACGGAAGAGGGATGCTAAGCGGTGCAGGCCAGGACTGGACAGCAGGAGCTAAACCGCCCTACTCCTTCACGGTCACGCCCGTCCGCGCGTGCGCAATCCCCACGCGTGGCCACGCCCATGGCACGCAGGACTCCGCCTAGTCCCTCTACCGCAACCAGTCTACCCTATCACCCACTTCCGGAGATGTATCCTAGCAACCGAGGACGCGACTACACCCGATGTGACTGCTTCCGGATCTGGCTTCCCCAGCTGAATGTCTGTGGCTTAGAGCCTAGGAAGCTTAGGGCATCCAGTCTGCTTACCCTTCAGGACGCATAAATGAGAGCTTCAAGGGCGTGGGCCAGCGGATAAAGGCGCTGCTGCCAATCCTTATAACCTCAGTTCTATCTCTGGGACCTATCTGCATGATGGAAGGAGAAAACAGACACCTGCAAGTAGTGTTTTGATCTCCACTTGTGTGTCATAGTGAATGCGCACACATGCACACATACAATAAATGTAACTTTAAAAATTAATGGGACTGAAGAAACGGCTCAAAGGTTAAGAACGTGCTGTGCTTTTGCATAGGACCCAAGTTCAGTTCCCAGCACCCATGTCAGGCTGCTCACATCTCCTGTATGTAACTCCAGCTCTACGAAATCAGAAGCCTGAAGCCAATGGCCTCCATGGGCACTTATACACATTGTGGCACACACACGCGCGCACACACAAACAAACAAATAGCACTGGAGAGATGACTTGACAGTTAAGAACACTGACTGCTCTTCCAAAGAAACCTTCAATTCCCAGCACCCACAAGGTGGCTCACACACCCTTCTATTAACTATGCAAGTGGTGCACCAGCATATGTGTAGGCTAAACACATATACACATAAAATAAGATTTAAAAATAAATTAAATTTTAAAAAGGCAGGATTCAAGATGGCACACAGCCTGGAAGCTGGAGGTCAAGTGAGTTCTAGGCAGGGTGTGCCATTCCTCTGTCTCCTACTGATGTTCATTTTACCATTCAGGAAGCAGAGATGAGAACTGACTCCTGTTTCTGAAGTTGTAGGGTAATGTGAACATTGCACTCAGCATGTAGTGAGGAAAAGAGGCTGCCCACCCTCTCAGAGGACTGTATAACATTCCTCCAAACAGTGAATTTTATGAGCTGTTATGTTTGTGTGTGCATGTGTGTGGAGGCCAACGGCCAACCTTGGGAATCTTTCCTCAAACACAACCCCCATGGGTCTTGTGGCCCTTTTCCCCGAGCTGGAAGCTGCAATGTGGGGAGGGCAGCTAGCTAGCAAGTCTCAGGGGTCTGCCTGACTCTGCCTCCCCAACTGTGAGATCACAAGCATATGACACCTTGCCCTGCTTCTGGAGGGGAACGCAGGTCCTTCTGGTAGCATGGCAACTACTTTACCAATTAAGCTATTAATTTATTTGTGGCATTGGGGGGAGAAATAGGTGCATGGTTCGAGAGCTATGTGTAGAGATCAGAAAAAACTTGACAAAATTAGTTTTTTATTTCTATCGTGTGGGACCTGGGGATCAAACTTAGGTTGTCAGTCTTAGTAGTAACAATTTTTACCACTTGAGCCATCTCACTGGCTCCTCAACTGGACATTTTAAAATCCCTTTCTTGCCAGGCATGGTGGGTCATGCTTTTAATCCCAGCACTCAGGCAATAAAAACAGGCTGAGCTCTTTAAGTTGTGAGACCCAGTTTACATGGTGAGTTCAAGGATAGCCAGGGCTACATAGATCCTGTATCAAACAACAGCAACAAAACCCCAAACAAACAAAAAACCAAGGGGCTAGAGCAGTAGGTCTCAACCTGTGGGTCGTGACCCCCTTGGGGTTTAATGACCTTTTCAAGGGGGTCACAGATATTCACAATTTGATTCATAACAATAGCAAAATTACAGTTATGAAGTAGCAATGAAAATCATTTTATTGTTGGGGATTGCTACAACATGAGGAACTGTATTAAAGAGTTAAAGCATTAGAAAGGTTGAGACTGCTGGGCTATAGAGATGGCTCAGTGATGAAAAGCACTAGCTTCTCTTCCAATGGACCCAGGTTCAATTCCCAACACCCACACAACAAGCATCATACAAGCATCTGCAACGCCAATTCTAGGAGATCTGGTGCCCTCTTCTGGCCCCTGTGAGCATCACAAATGCATATGATATACATACATATATGAAGGCAAAACAGACACATATTAAAAAATAAAAATTTTCAAGACAGGGTTGCTCTGTGTAGCTCTGGCTGTCCTGGAACTCCCTCTGTAGACCAGGCTGGCCTCGAACTCACTGAGATCCTCCTGCTTCTGCCTCCGGAGTGCAGGGATCAAAGGCATGTGCCACCAACGCCTGGCCCCTGGCAACAATTTTTTTTTTTTTTTTTTTTTTTTTTTTTTTGGTTTTTCGAGACAGGGTTTCTCTGTGGTTTTGGAGGCTGTCCTGGAACTAGCTCTTGTAGACCAGGCTGGTCTCGAACTCACAGAGATCTGCCTGCCTCTGTCTCCTGAGTGCTGGGATTAAAAGCGTGTACTACCACTGCCCAGCTCAACAATTTTTTTAATTAAATAATAAAAGTTATTTAAAACACAGGACAATTCCTCCCTTTAGGAAGAGATAGCCCACCAGTAAAAAAAGGAACAGATCCACATCAGCTCTGAAAACCATGTGGTTTAAACGGGTCACTTCACTTTTTGGAGCCTCAGTTTTCTTGTCAATAAATTGGAAATGACAGCTTTTACATAGAAGGTTTTGGGGGCTGGGCCTAATGACTGGGGCAGGAGGATTATTCGAGTTCAGGAGTTCTGGACTAAAGTGCCTTATACCAATCAAATATCTTCAGTAAGTTTGGTATCAGCAGTTTAATGGAGGTAAACTAGTCCAGGTTGGAAATGAAGGGCATTGGAAAGATTCTTGAAAAGATAAATAAATAAGTAAATAAACAAATAAGTTATAGTTGGTTGAAAGCCTGCCTGTGATGTTAGCACTGGAGAAGCTCAGACAGGAGATGGGGGAGATCCTGTCTAGCCTAGTCTATATAGCAAGACCTTATCCAAATAGAGAGAGTCATGTCCTTGACATGGCACATGGTAGCTGCTCAAATACTTGCTAGGTTAGCTCATAACAAAGGAACTATATGTTTACTCAGCCATACCTCACCTATGAAAGAGCATGCTAGAGGCAGCAGGAAAAGTTGTATCCCTAGGCTTGCATCTCAGCTCTGATAGCTGCATGAGCATGGGCAAAGTCCTGCCTCCCAATTACAGTTTCCTCACTTCAAAATGGGAATAATGGCCTCAATGGTACGGAAAAAGTGTTTAAGCCTCTTGTGAAGAGCACCTAGAAAGGCGCCTGGCAGGTTTGACCAGGTCCTTTGCATGTAGCCTACAGGGCCTCACTGAACTCACCTGAAGCCAAAATATACAGGTGAGCACAGGAAAGAGCAGGGAGGGAAGAGGGAGGGAGGGAACGAGGGAGCGGAGGGAGCTAGAGAGCCAGGGAGAGACTGCTCAGAGAAAGAGTAATGGGAGGGACAGTTAAGCCAATGTGGAGCATTTGCTGGGAGCTTCATGGCTCTGTAAGTAAAAGGTCAGAAAAGACAGACTGCCTCTCAGTGCTGATCTAATTATGTAGATTTAGTTTTTAAAAAAGCTTCATGGAGTTTGAGACCAGATGAGGCAGCACAGGGAGCCCTATCTAAAACAAAATCAAAGCATATACATACACTATAATACACACACAATACACAAAGGTCAGCAAAATAATAATAATAATAATAATAATAAATGATAATGATAATACAAAATAGGCAACTGGATCTGCAGGATGATTCAGTGGGTAAAG